CTCTAGTTCTCTCACTCCAGTACCCTCAGCCTCTGCACGTGTACTGACGCGTACACATGGCTGTGGCGTGTGAAGTGGGAAGAGATTTAAAGACACGCAACCGCAAACACTCCACACACTTCTCCCTCGCCCTCTTAGTACTGTTTTGACCCTGCTGCATATTAATAATTGGCTGGGGCTGAATGCTGATTGTGTTGTACTCAGCGGTACACACAGCACATGCCAAACTCAACCAAACCCTCCTTGTCATTGCTGAGAGATTGACTCATCAAAACACTCGAGGACCTCTTTCTTTTACTACACCTCTTTCTCTGAATTCCTTCATCATTCTTTGTCTGTTTTTTCCACTTTACTCACCCAGGAACTTTAACCCTGAACAATACTATGAAGTGGAAAAAAACCGTATATCAGTCATTGTCAAGGAGCCACTCCTAATCTGTGTTCTCTCTTTTAAGTTGACTTTGCAATGAAAGACAATGTGACTGTATCTCCTGCCTTCAGCCCCCCCACGGGACAGAAAAATGCTTGGTCACTATGGGATTTGCTATAAACTCAAAGGAGAGTTTAAAGTGCTGACATTATAAAGCACACCAAATAACCTTGATTGCACCACGACCACTAATGTATTGTGGGGTGTACTTGTCTCATATCAGCTTCTGGGGACAATTTGTCTCTTCTAACTTGTCAACTCTGCAAAGTTTGCACAACCCTCTTTCTTGATATTGCTGTTTTGAGCTGATATGGATGAACCTTGAAGAATAAACTGTCCTTGTACATCTTTTAAGCCCTCTTGTTCATCTGTAAATCTATCTGGGAACTAATGTTTCATTAAAGTGTTTGTTATTGATATGTACTTCCCTGTTTCTCTGTTGTTCTTTCTCACTGTGCTTTAACACCATTGTGAGGACAGCTAAATGTGTGCATATTATAATATATATCTTGTTGTATTGTATCATTTTGTATTTCACTAAAGTACATTGTATCATATCATGACATTGTATGACACCATATTTTATCATATGGTAGCGTGTCACATCATTTTGTATTGTTTTGTATTACATTGTTTGTTATCTTAGCCAGTTGTAACAAATCCTATTATGTTAAAACTCACCATGAAGACAGTCGTTTCCCCCTGTGAGGTTCTGCGGCTGAGCTACCTCCAAGCCAATAAGCGATGGCGAAGAAGAGGACGAGGGTGACGAAGATGTGGAGCAAGGTGGGGAGGGAGGCGGTAGGCACTGGGAGCTCTGGTTAGGTACAGCTGACTGGGAGCTCTGTGAGGGGATCTGGGCTGAACTGGAACTGTTGTTGTTATGCATGCTGCCCATTCCATTTTCTGTCAGAAACTCCTCCAAGTCCATGTACTGAAGCTGGAAGAGCCCCCCATCTGCAGGCAGGGTGCGATCCCACAAGAGAGGCCCCAAGAACTGGTTGAAACTTCCTCCATTTCCTCCTCCACAGCCATTACTGCTGTTACTGTTGCCAACTCCACTGCCATTCCTCATGGAGCACACTCCCAAAGAGTCCTCATCAAGGTCCAATCTGTCTTTATCTGTAAGAAACAGAAGAGTGCGGTCACAATTTGTACAGAATAGAAATTAAGAATGTTAACTGTGAGTATATGTTCTATCACCAATCAATGGATGCTAATATGAACTCTCCTTTTGTTGGCATAGCTAAGTAGCTTGGCAGGTGTATCTATACATAGCACTTTTCTTAAATGTCTGTTTATGTCTAAATTTGCACAAATTGACCAGATGGTAGCTGGAATGCAAAACTCCCAGATGAATCTGACAATAGCTGCAGGTACATTTTGGCACAGCAAGCACCACCAAAGAAAAGCTGCATAACATTTCAGATCAACCAACACACTCATTGTAATCTGGATCCTAACTGAAGTCACAGCAGGGATTATAATCCAGGTGAATACTGAGTCAGGTCACATGAGCGTCATCGTGATAATGTGTGATGAAGCATCAGACTTTAGTGGCATATTTTGTACCATAAAATATGAAAAAATAACGTGTTAAAAAATAATGTTGAATCACATTAACAGCAACAGTGGTTGGAATAGACAGTTATGACTTGTTCATGATCTGTCATTGCAGATATTGAAGACGAACTGTATCAGGAGCAAAAACAACACTGTGACAACATTAAGTCACAATAAGTGACAGTATTACCTTTTGAATCCAGTGGACTCTTTAAACGCTGGTCTCCCTTCATGGGATGCTGCAGGAGGGACTTTAGTCCTGTCATGGAGTTCAGATGGCCCCCTGTGAGGGATCCTGCAGGCTGAGTACAACTTCCAAACTGTGGGCTTGCGCCAGCTGGGAGGTCGGGGGTCGGAACCTGGGAGAGCTGCCTGGACATCCTTGACCAGACGGGGTCGCAGAGAGACACCTGGGGCACTTGAAGAGGCGTGGTAAACTGACCCGAGTACCTACCAATAGGACTAGTTGGCTTGATGTCTGTGCGTGAGTATGCACGAGGGCAGGAGGGAGGGGGTACAGAGAGAGGGAGAGAGAGAGAGAGAGATAGTTTTGAGAAGTGTCCATGCAGAAAAAATAAACCATTGTAATAAACTTCGAAGTATTAATGGCGCAGATGAATTATACTTAAGTTAGAAAACAAATGAAACTTTACCTTTTACTTGTCGTTAAGAGTTCCTTATGTCCTTGCAAAAATATTTCCATCGAAATATTCCATTGCAGTTGGATGCTGTTAAAACTGTTCAAGAGGGCTAGCTGTGATTCTCAAAGGATCCGTGTAGGAGGGACAGTCAGACCATCTGAGTAAGAGTACTGTCCTTAATATAAAAAAAAAACGCAAACTGCGTGAAAATGACAACGAAATCCGCAAACAACCCACAGACCGGAGAATTATAATAAAAACTTGAAGAGCGATATCCCGAGTTATTCGTCCGGCGCTGAAAAAGAAGAGCCCAAAAGACTTGCAAAGCAAAAACCTCCGTCAAAACAAAACAACTGATGAGAAACTGTGTATAAAAAACACGCAGCGTCAGGGCAGTGGCTGTGTTGGTCAGATGACAAGTTGCATTGGTGTTTCTCTCCTGTGCTGTCGCGCTCTGCTGTCCGTCGTAGAGGGAGGAGGGGTTTGTTTCCTCTTTCTCTGTCTGTACTTTTTTTTTTTTTTTTGCATCCGGTGGATTCAGTCACGGGCGCACGGGTTTTCGGTCTGTGTTTGGGCCGCGCGAGGTACACGTCCGACTGTCCTCTCTCTCTTTCTCTCAGCTGGAACGGACACGGGCAGTTCACGTGACGTCACACATCAAGGAATAAACGAGCGAGGCTCAAAGGGGGCGGGGTCCAGATTTAAGCGCCCTCTCTAAGCCTGTGTGTGTTATTTATGAGACACACCTACCCTCGTGCCGCACATCAAGGAGAACAAGCTGTTTGTTTTTTTTCTTTCTGACAGGTACAAACAGTGGTTATCTAGTTTTTCTATACTGAGGCAACATCAATGTACATTTGTTTTTGTTTTTTGCTTCAGTATGATGACTATAAGGGAAATGTCAATACACAAAAAGGCCATCACAAATCACTTATTTACTTATTTATCGTTGTTCAGCTTCCTTGATTACACTTTGCTTTACTCTGTTAAGAGCAGTGTTTTCACCTCTGATAATCAGTAAGTCCAGCATGGCTTTTCCAGCCTCCTTGTAATCCAGGGAAAACGTGAGTGTGCCGTTTTTTCAGGCGAGAGGAACGCTTCAGCACGTTGCCTCCCGGCGTACAATAGCTGTCCCAGCTCACGTGTATCAAGCACGGGGAGACCAGGCCTGTCCGCTCGCGGCACTGAATCTGATTTGCGCTGTAAGCTCGTCGCTCCACCCACGACGTGCGCTCATTGGATAGAATTAGGTCGACTGAACCCGCCCGCTCGGATTCCCCTCATGCATGCCACTGCCGCGTGAGACCAGTTCGAAACACAAAAAGCGCGAGGGCTGTCTCTACTGTACAGCTTCTGAGCACATGTAAAACAAAACTCGCAGCAGGAGTTCACCTGTTTTTATACATGCAAAGGTTGACAAGTGTACATACGACAGAATATAGTCAACTGAAGCTCAATGTTTCTGTGATTAAATTAGTTCAAATGAACCTTGCGTACTAAATATGACACTGAATAGTACAAATTCAGCAAACACGGTCCCATGACCCCTGATTTTATTACTTTATACAGTATATAGTATTTACTGTGTATGTGTGTGTGTGTGAGAGAGAGAGAGTCGTCATAATTTATAGTTTGCAAGTCAGATTGATGGATTCTTTTAAGTATATAGGGATGCAAATTCATACTTTAATTTTTTTGATCCCTTTAACATAATATCATGTCTCTCATTAAAGTATTGACATTATTGTATGAAGTGTATCTAAAATATAATTTTAATACCACAGAAAGGGTTGTAGTAGCATTTTCTAAAGTGTAATCGTAAATGCAAGTAACCACTCATGTAGTTACTTGCATTGCATTTCACCATATTCATTGGTTGTATGAGTGAGATTTGATTGACGCTCAAGCGTTCCGTTTATTTTCTGGCATTAGTCGTATTGTAAACAGCGCACAAGGCACATAATTCACAGTCACACAACACTCTTCAGTCCACCCCCTATCAGTACAAAATCCATGTGACTGCCACACTCGCTAGGACAAGAGTAAAGCATAAATGAGTTGCTTACTGCCACCTAGTGGAGCTTGTGGTGAGAAGTTTTACACAGCGGTTTCTCTCAAGTATGACAGTATGTTCATTTTAATCATAACAAATTAATCATCACCCGAAACTGCTTCGCCCCTGAAGATCGTTAAACCTAAGAACTTCAATATTTATAAATCTAAATAATACAGGACATAAAGCAAAATAAAATTGTAAAACCTCAATACTGTGTTTGGTTACAACTACAAATAACTTGTTCAATTATTAGCAGTTTGTACCATTTTATGGGTGATGTAGGTTACTTTAAATGAGACATGAAAAAAACGACTGGTTACACTTAAGGTTTATTCATTGCTGAAATGTAATCAACTACTGACTTCTCAGTAAATAATGTGATAAAAATCTACTAAAACTATCATTTTCCTTTAGAAGAAAAAAAAAGGCTTGACAGGGGTATGACCATTTCATATGTGGATAGTGACAAGATGTTATTAAAACATACAAAGAAACAAAAAAAACAAGGCATGACAGTAAGAATATGATTGCAACCCAGCAAAAAGTAAAACATAGAAGGGGTTAAGTATAATATTGGCAAGAAGACTGATTGGGTTACACACATGAATACATGGAATATTACACTTGTTTCTACTGTGATAGGTCCTTCCTTAAACACACTGTGGATTACTGTAGAAATAATCACTGCTAAAAAGAGCATACAAATTACATGAGATAAACATGTGTCACAGTTCACTTGTTTAGCCTGTTTTAAATCTCTTGGTATAAAAGCTAGGAATATTTTAAATAAATGAAGTAAAGTGAATATACTAAGCAAGGCTTTTGTAAGTTTCTTCGTTTTGGCAGAAGAGGGATCCTTGTAATGCTAATTACCAGCAACTTGACATTTATTCTATGCATGATTAAATTACTAGGGAATATAGAGCCACTTTCAAATCAGATTTATCACTACAAACTTCTGGGGATATACTGAATAAACCATCACATACTGTAGGAGTGATTTCACAACCTCCGCAAAAAACTTGACCAGAGAACAAACATGCACTGACAAACTATCAACAAAGGTCTTTGTCCCAATGTCCCTATTCCTAAATAATGCACTTTACATTAGTAAAAAATCCTCAGAGCCTCTAAGTGAACAACAACAAGACAGAGTACACAGCAGAGACGTTTATCATACAGCAAGAGATGTAGCAGGGATTCTAGTTATGGGGAGAGATACATTAGCAGGTCAAATCACCTAAACTTTTCTGGTAACTGCACAGTGTCAGCCAAGCATTGTCAATGCACTTAAGGGGTTAATGAACCTATGGAAACAGTCACATCTTTTGAAAACATCTTCCAATATAATCTGGAAGAATTTCTGGTGATATCTTATAGAATGTTTTACAGTAGTTGTTAACACACTCATTCTAATAATAAGCAAAATAAATTTCAAATGAGACATGAAGCAAATTCTTCTAAAGGCAGCATAAGCCTTTTCAAGTCCCTTTTTTTTTTTATCACCTTCCCATTTTAGAACTGAAATATCCCTCATGAATGCCACCTGTGCCAGATACAATGATGCTCAGTATCTGTATGGTCCCTGAAGGAATGGCACCTCCTCCTGACCCTCGTGGGTCTGACTCTCTCCTGGTCTCTTTGAAAGCTTCAGCCTATTAGCATCTCCTCGCTGCAGTCCTTTCGCCCTGCGGCGGCAAGAAACCTTGTGCCGTTTCAGAAGTGTAGCGTTCCAGAAGCGAGTAGAGCAACGTCGGCAGGAGAAAGTCCCTCTGGCACGATGGGAGGCCCGATGGATGAAGGCTGCCAAAGCCCTGTGAGAATGCTTCCCACACACACTGCACCTCAGTCGCTCCAGAGTGGTCAAGCCTCTTTGTCTATGTTTTACTGCCATGTGGACTAGCAATCCTGCTTTGCGTGAAAACACAGAATTGGGGCATTTAGGACAGCCAAAACGTTTCACAGGGACTTTAAGAGACGACAGGATCTGCACCTTCATGCCCCCAGTGTTGACAAGCTTATATCCACCACCACCTGATCCGCCTCCTCGTCGAATTGTCAAACGAAGAGAGCCTTGTTTTTTAGTCAACTGCCCTCTTATTGTACAACTTATCTTTTTTTTTTTGCTTCCGTCGAGTCTTACTAAATTGTTGGATTCCCACTTATTTTCCCTCCAATCTCTCTGGTTGGACTTTTTTTTTTTCTTCTTGTATCGTCTCATGTCATCGTGCATTAATTGGTTGCTGCAGTCAAGGTGTTGATGGGACTGGGCACCTGACTGATGATGAGGATGATGTTGGGAGTGATGATGATGGTGATGCAAATGATGATGTTCAGTGGAGGGCAGTTCCGTGAGGGGCTGGAAAGGGGCTGTGGTGTGAAGCGTACGGCTACGGGATCCAGCTGGATATATGTGCTCTCCTTTCACCCCGGCTGGGGAATGAGGGTGCTGGGGGGGCATTATTGTAGAGTTTGGAGGCAGAGGCTGTGAGTACGATGGAGGGTTAGAGGCTGAAGAATGAGCAGCATCATAAAAGAGAGGAGAGTATCCAGATGGTGGTTGTGGAGGTGCCTGTTGATGGCTATGAGTGACAACACTGAGACTCTGCGCTCCATGGCCTTCAGTAGAAGGAGCCATTTGCAGGAGAGCATTGGTGGCAGCCTCACTCTCTGATGCTGATTGATTGACATCACTCCCACCTCTGTTATCTCCAGACCCACTGTTGCCTTCTTGTGGGTTGGATGAGTCATTGCGGGTCATCCCATGCTGTGATTGCCTATGTCGGGTGAGGCTATTGGAGTAAGCAAATGCTTTCCCACATACCTCACAGCAGAAGAGCTTTTCCCCCCCACCTTCATGAACCGTCTGGTGATGGGCAGTCAAATGAAAGTGATGGCGGAACGACTTCCAGCAGATTGCACAGGTGTAAAGTCGAGGGGGAGGGGGTGGCTGTGTTTGGGGTGGTGGAGGCTGTTGCTGGGTGTTGGTATCTTGAGGCTTAACGTCTTGAGGGTAGGAATAATAGGAGGAGGTGCTTGGTGCTGGGTTTTGGCTCCTATCTTGGGCCACGCTACATTGAGGGTTTGGGTTAAAGCTGTTTAGGTTCTCAGGAGCTGGTGTTGTGGGCACCTCTTCCAACTCCCCTTTCTGATGTAGTTTGCTGTGCCTCCTGAGGCTCTGGGAGTATCCAAACTCTTTCCCACATATGCTGCATTTGTAATTCTTTGCCCCAGAGTGGACTGTTTGATGCTTGCTAAGATGAAAAGCCTCTCTAAAATACTTTCCACAAACATTGCAGTGATGGGGTTTTTCCCCAGTATGAATGCGGTCATGCCGGCGTAGTGTCTCGCGGCGTGCAAACCCCTTACCACAGACACTGCAGAGGTGAGTGCGTGGGAGCCCGCTGGGCCCCATTCTGGGAGTATATTGCCTACGTTTGGGGGGCTGTCCAGCCACTGCAGGATCTTTCTTAGCTCTAGGTTTGCGGGGACGTTTTGGTTTAGCCGTAGGATTCTGCGGGTTGCTGTTCATAGCCTCCTGGCTCCCACCTCCTCTGAAATTCTTATCCATACCAGAAGTTGTTGAGGGTGAGCCCAGAGGACCCAAACCAAGACCACCTAGTAGACCTCCTATGATGTCTCCCCTATCATCCCCTCTATTTCCACTGTTACTAGCTGCTGTTATAGCAGAGATTGCATTATTGACAGAGCTAGTAACATCATCCTCTGAGTCATCCAGTAGAGAAGAAAGGGGCAGGTGGGGTTGTTGCTGCGGATGGTGGTGCTGGTTGTGGCTCTGTGAGTGTGGATGCAGTGTTGGAGCCAAGGGTGCCTTTCTCAGAGCTGGGCCCGCCATCCCACTTCCACAGGGGGAGGCACCAGAGTAGCATGGAGATGGATTACCTTGAGAACGATGGTCATCATGGTAGCCTGTGTAACGATTCCGAGAGTAGTCAGTGGGGTATTTAGTATCTGTTCTGTCCCTGTCATTTGAATTCCCTCCCCTTCCAGACTGAAACAGACTATCACATCCTAAACCTGATTTTGGTTCTCCTTCCCCAACAATGATTACACCATCTTCTTCCTCAGTTTTCCCATAAATAACCCCTCTATTGCTTTGATAAGTTCCCCCTCCTCCATTACCTCCTCCGCCCCCTTCCCCGACTCTGTCCTCGCCATCAGTTCCTGTCTTGCTGCACCTCTGCTTGGGTCCCCTACCTGGCTTGCCGCAGGTGCCTGAGGCAGCATGGTTGAGTAGAGAGGTGCTCTCACGGAAGGAACGACCACAGGCGGGGCATCGGAATGGCTTTTCCTCATGTATCTTCTCATGGCGTGTCAGTGACTCTCTACGATTAAAAGCCCGAGAACAGGTGGAGCAGCCATATGGGCGAGCTGAAGAGTGTATAACACCATGTTGCAGGAGGTGCCCTTTTTTTTTAAAGCCTTTGCCACAATCTGGGCAATTAAATATTTTGTCTGGGCTAGGACAGGAATTAGATGAGGGTTGAGGAGTTTCTTGTGTCGAATGGGGAAGGCTTGGGTCAGGCTGAGCTTTAATATGAATAGGGTTTGGGCCAGTAGTGGCACTATTGCTAGTACCTGCTGTGGTTGGCTCATGCATGCGCAAATGCCTGCGAAGGCTTGAAAGGTGAGGGAAGCTTTTGGCACAATCTCCACAACTATAAACAGTCTCTGAATCAGACTCTGTGGGATTGGGTTGCATTGAGCTCTGGTTATTAGATTTAGAAAGGTGAGAATCATTAGTAACCAGTACTGAGGCAGCAGTGGAGGAGGGAGCAGAGGAGGAAGAGGAAGAGACAACAGATGAAGATGAAGATGATGAGGCAAGAAGAGATGATGGGTCTCCACCCATATTTGATATACCAACCCCACTCCCAATTAACGCTGGGGGCTGACCATGACTTAACCCAGCTCCATTACTACTAGTGCTAGGGTTACTGCTGTGGCCATGGTTGCTGCTGCTATTATTATCAGATTTTCTCTGAGGCAAATATCCAGCCATAGCTTTCTTCCTCCTGCTGCTACTGCTACCACTGCTACTACTTCCACCGCCACTGTTTTCCCCTTTACCATCATCCTTAGATAAGGATAAATGAAGTGGCAAGGGAAGGGGCAAACCTACTTCTTGCTGCATTAAAGAAGCTATCTGATTTGACGAAAGTACAGGGATACCCTGGAAGTCAAAGCCTCCAAGTGATGAAGGCTGGGAGCCTGGGTGAAGCGGGTGATGAGGATGAGAATGAGAATGCGGATGAGAAAGGGTGTGAGGTGTAAGTTGTTGCTGTTGCTGTGGAGCCTGCTGTGACTGGGGAGTGGAGTGACCATGTGAGTGAGAAGAATGCAAAGCAGGAGGTGGAGCAAGACTAGTACTAGGCTCCCCACCAGTCTGACTTAAACCTAACCCTAAATGGTTATGGGTTCCCTGTTGCACAAGAAATTGCTCTAAACTAGCATTAGTAGGCACACCAGAAAGGAAATACTGATTAGCAGCTAACATGCAACTAAATTGTTGGTGAAGGCTACGTGCATCAGATTGGGCCCCAACTAATTGGTGTCCCAATGAGCTGACTGCACTGCTGCTAGAAAGGTTATTAGAGGTGGCCACAGAGGTTGAAGGGGAAGGAGAGGAGGAGGAGGGACCAGATGATACTTGGGGGACAGAGAGGCCAGGATGCAGAGGAGGAGGGGGTGGAGGTGCTGATGTTACTAATCCTCCCAATCCCCCAGCACTCCCACTACTTCCCCCAGCAAAGTGCTCAAAGCGGCCTACACCTGGATGTAACTGCTCCTGTGCTAGTGCTGCCTCAGACGGGTGGAAAGAGCGCAGGAACTGTGGGTAGCCTGAAGAATGACTTGAGCTGCTGCTGCTCATCTTGCTTGACTTTGAACGAGAGCTTTGAGATGAGGAAGGCTGTTGTTGTAAAGGTGGGGGAGGAGGGGCACTCATCTTGGCAAAAATGGAGGCAGAATCAGAAAAGGCGTTACCTCTTGACCCCTGCAGGGGGCCCAAGCCAAGTCCAGACAGAAGAGCTCCAGAAGATTCAGCCTGCTGCTGCTGCTGCTGCTGGAGTTGATGCTGGTGGAGTTGCACTTGCTGTTGATGTTGAAGTTGTCGATCTAAACCGAGGCCTTTGAACTGGTGGGCCTGGTGCCCACTTAACATCTCTATAATGTCCAGATTGTATTTTCCAAATTGGAACATTTCCCACTCACTGGCACATGGGGTTGTAGGGCCAAACCTTCAAAGCAAGGAGCGGCAACAATAATCCAAAGAATGACTCTTGAAAAAAATGCTTTACCCTAAAGGGGAAGTTATAATACAATTTTCAAAAACTACTTAAATGTCTTAGATAAAACGTTTGTCTCTCCAGATGTTTACTTCTGGTGTCCTAGTTCCTGTTGATTATCCGCTGCCCACACTCGACTTCCAAAATGAGTGGGTAGCCAGAAAGATGAGTTTATGATCAAAAGGCAAAATGTCTTTAAGACAAGTAAAGAAGTTCCACCTAATTTCAAAATTGCTTTTAAAAGTTTTTTTTTAATGAGAAGCAGTTTAAATGACTTCTTTTTTTCCTGTGAGAGTTACTGCGTTGACATTTCCTTCATCTAAGCAAGATTCCTCATCCTTGTTCAGCCAAGAAGTTCCTTTCGCTGAAAAAAATCAAAAAAAGATAAAAGTCATAGAGAGGACCAAGACTATATTTCACTTTCCGTGGAAACCCCCCCCCCCACCACCACCACCACCTGTTAACTGTTCTTTCACATTACAAAGCAGAGATTTATCCCACTTCATTGCAGCCATTAAGTGTAAAGCTTTTAAATTCATGTGCCATTATAAATATATTTTCACAATATGTAAACAATGCCAACTTTGGCGGTATAATGCATATCTCACAGAGATATCATATTATTATGACCAATTACACCCAAAGTTTAAGTGAGAAATGTGACACAAAGTTGTATTCCTAGATACACTGTTGAAATTGTCTGTTTATGCCAGATGAATGATTAAATAAAAAGGTACAATTCAAGTTATTTTGTTCCATATAATGATACAATGGCGGGCTTCTTCAATGACTTAATACACATTAACAATCTTCTACTTTATTTTATTTTTGTATAACTTACCATTATGTCTCAGGTGCATTAAAGCACATACAGAAATGTTCCATGAATGCAAATTGTTTTCATTAATAGGTTCAAAATGAGGTTCTCAAAAAGGAAAAGTCATTATCAACATAGCTACTGTCAATGCATTGGCTCTTATTTATAGACATCATTCATGAAGGTGGGAGGTAACAGACTGGAGGTGCTAGACCTTGATTAATAAAAAAAAGCTACTGAGGAGATTTATACTGAGCTACCAAAGGTTCAGGTAAGGAATAAATAAAAGCAAAAACAACAAACAAAAACAGTTCTGCAAACTTTGGGAAAGGTTTCATAAACTTCACAATCTGTGGGCACTAACTGAAGACATTAAACACTATTCAAATAAGAATCAACATCTTGTGCAAATGAACAATTATTTTCACTTACTACTTATTTAAGATTGTAATAATCAACCATTTTTTTTAGGTTTATTATTTGCAGATAATAATATAGCATACAGGTTATCACTACACTAAACAATTGTTAATTTCATTCTTAGCTGAAAATCAGTGAAATAGTGTAAAGACACTTGTTTGTAATATTGTGTTTAGTTTTACATAGTGTTGCTTGTAACATTAGCAATGAGATATCACATAATAGGACAGATGAAAGTAATTTAACACTATTAGGTGCTGTGTAATAAGTAGGTAATAGGTAGGCCAAGGGTATGACTACTGTTAAAATATTAACATAAAAATAGACTAATTGTTTTTAAGTTTGTAATTCATATTGAACAGGAGTCATTTTATTGATATGTTTTTGTTGTTTTTTTGCGATACACAGTAAAATAAACCGTACAACTCAAATTATAGCCAACAAAGGGAGAATCAAATCTTAAAATGTACATTATTATTATTTTAACCAGATGAAGTCAAACTGTTGTTTAGGTTGTCCCATTATCCTCCTCCTGAAAGGCAGACGTAAACTGGAACAGAATAACTCACTTTGCGTCTCGTTTTGCTCACCTTGTAAAATCTTACCGTTTCCTCTAATCGCTGCGATGAATGTAGAGGGAAGTGAGTTCCCTTGGCAGACGAGGAAGATAATCTATCACATGTTTGACGGGCTCTCATTTTAATGCAAATCAGCAAATCCTGTTGAAGAAAGGCAGAAATGCTAAATTAACAGACTCGCTGCAAAATGTAAACACCAAGCAGTACATGCAGGCCCCACGTAAAAACAGGATGCACTTGAGGTAGCATCCTGTTTTAGTATTGGCATACATTTTTGGAGGACTAACTAAAACATTGGAAGCGCTTGCATGCAAAACTTTACGCTTTTTAAAGAGCACCATATTTTTCTTTTTTTGCACAAGCTCGGTATGTTTAGCCACTCGGCGCCACACGCAGTCTAAAAAAAAAAAAAAAAAAAAAAAAAAAAAAACCCACATAACCACTGCTGCTAACGCTAGCCATCTTTCAAAAAAACCCCACTATATTAAAAAAAATAAAAAAAAAAAAGTACGCCGACCCACCGCGAACATTACGATGCTAACGTTAGCGTATACATCCGCGTAACCTACATATGGGGGGGCAAATGTTTACCTACGCATCCAGTCGCAAAGCACAGTTGTAGATGGATGAGGCCTGTCACGCCTTCTTCTTACCGCCTAGCCAGCTATCGTCGGCTTTCATTTCTGCGTGCTGTTTTCCAGTCGTTAGCCGGAGCCATTTTCACTGATGCTGAGCTGGGCGAAAAGCTTACACCGTCCCCGCAACAAATCAACGCCGACGGGCAATGCAGCCGCCTCCTTTCCATTCGGCTGCGACAGGTTATGCCGACGGGGGACGTTAGCTAAAGATTTCGACGGACGAGAAAAATGGGGTGGTCGGTGGTAATATTTTTTGGGTAAAAAGTGAGTGACGTGTGCTCTCTTTACATTGGTCCTTTCCGGCCCTTGTAATATTTCCGGGTAGCACTAGCGGGGCTCGCGGGCGGCTGAGTAGGGTTTAGGCTCCAGTGTGAAGGAGATCCTCTTTCACTAATATTAATTATCACCATTAACCAATCCACCCTGACAACACTGTCCACACTATATAAAAGTCAGCTTGTCTCAGAAGGAGTCCAACGCTGATGTTTTATGGGCCTATTAGGGAAATGATATCTCAATGCTATGATAGGCTATTTCTTGAAAGTGCATAACATTACATTTATCTTTTATCCTGTGTCTTATATTTTAGATAGAGGAGGACTAATTGCAGTTATAATTAGGATTGTGAATTAGGACATACAAGGAGGCTAAACATCCAAATGAATCAGGAGCAGCCTCCAATAAATGTACATGATATAAAGGCATATTCTCAAATATTAGTAAAGTAGGCCCACGATCAGGGGGTCCAGGGTTTATGAACAAGGGTTAATGTATTTTTTAAAACCTGCCAAAATGTCAAACTGTGTCATCTAAGCCAAGTGTATCATAATAATAATAATAATAATAACTTTATTTATATAGCACCTTTTTTAAAAACACAGGTTTACAAAGTGCTTTGACAAACAAGAACAAAGCAAACTAAACCAAACACAGAAGAACATTAACAACGGCAAGAACATAACAAATGCAAAATACTAAAAATAATTAAATACAATTCAACAGAAAAGAACCCAAAGTGCACGATACCCAACAGACATATATAACCCGACCGTCACAAGAACCATGATAAAAACCCAGGAAACACAAGAACCCAACAGCACGAGCTGAGACCAAGAGGACCAAAGATTTAAAAAGATGTAAGAAACTAAAAGAGCTGAAAATAAGAAAATATGTAAGGTCAATGATTACATTAGGCTATATTGATGTGGCATTAGTTAATTGTAACAAATAGTACAGGAAAAAGTACATTTTATTCTGAGCCAATAGGCCTAAATATAACATAAGGTTTAAATGATATAAGGTTTATCAAGGACAAGCATCAATAAGATTTGCAGGTCATTATACCAAGAGTGTGTGATTTCATTTGTGGCCCTTAGTCACAAAACAAAAAACCAATGTAGAACAACTTATAATACTTGAAATGCCATTATGATCACAAGTCACATTTCTCATATTGAGATGGAGAATAAGAGGTGTTTATTTCTAATCTGCCCCATTCTTCTGTACCAACAATAATTGACTAATAATTGCCACTAATGTTTAAAAGTGATCTACCAAAACAAACTGTTTCAATAACCACATCCATGCAGTGATTAAAAGATATTGATGTGAGTTATGACCTGTGTTTTTCTGAAGCTGTAAGAACAGTCACAGTGAACTCAGAAACTAAACCTTTGGCAAACTCGTCATTTTATCATGACACACGTCTTGGATCTGATTCAGTCACTTTAATCACAGAGATGTGAATCATTTCCTCTCTGATTTGTAAAGATGGTAATCATGATTGGGTATCTTTTACTCATCATACGAGGAAACAGAAAGCATTAATCACACACATACATCTGCATTTTAATTTTTCTTTTCCAGCAAATCTTGTAGTCGTTCTCAGCTACATTCAGTGCCAAGAACTGAGCAAATCTTGTGGAAAAAGGGGTTTCACTTTACTAAGCAGAGATATGAGGCATTAATATGCATGGTGACTGGTGCTGGACAGTTCAGGCACCTTATCCATCCATAATACTTTTTAAAAAATGGATATTATTAAAGATATTATTTCTTTACTCTCGCATTGAAATATATACGTGCAGGCTTTCTCTGTGAGCCGAGGACCTACTGAACCTCCTGGTGGTGAAATGTGTAAATTACAATGATTGTAGAGCATCAGAGGCCATCAATGCTGAAATCAAATGTAATATTTTCTATGCCTTTTGTGTACCTCCTACAAAATAATGTCTCTATGAGTACAATACAGCAGTCTGCGCTTTCATTCAAGCCTTCCTACATCTCAGTGCAATAAATGTATTCACAGGAGGTTTTAAATATGAGCTGCTCTTACCTCAGTGGAAGGACGCAGCAGGAACAAAATGATATAACTCTGCACTTAGATGGCCTAGAGATGTGAATTATATGAAGACAGTCTCACCTTTTCGTTTAATTTAGAGTACAGTCGTCCACTCCCACTGGCACTGTCTTACTGCGGCTTATACAATACATCACATCCTGGTAATGTGTGATTTTATCATGGACCCAATTTGTGTGCTTACTAACCTACTGAAGACTGAAAGGCTTTTTGTTAATATGGAGCTGTTGTTGCTATTTTGACCCCTTATAAAACACTAATCGGTTTTGTGATTATTTTTAGATACAATTTCATAACATACTGCCTTTTACCAAAGCCACGGGTCTCAAAACTGTGACTGCTTGCACAAACATGTTTTTCTGTGTCTGTTATGAGATGCATGTCAGAACAGTCCCGGGCTCTGTCTTTGCTTTTAGTGATTGACACAACTTGGCATATAGTCCCCATGCCTTAGGCCATGCCCTAATATTTACAGTCTATGGCCATGTCTCAAATGAAGACTTATTTCTGTAATTCAAATCTGTGACAACATATAGAAAAAGTTCAACCCTGTAGATCAATGTCTAACAAAATAAATGTAATCAATCTGCCGTACACATTTCAAGGTAGGCATACTCTGACTTTATTTATGAATTAACATGTTTTGCTTCTTGACTCCACCACGATTCAAATAGAAATATTGTACTTTTCACTTACCAAAAGACGAATATGTTTGTCTATAGATTCAATTAACTGATATAGTTAGGTAGATTTGTAGATTAGGATTCAACATAAAATACACATGAGTTTACAAAATATGATGCACTTTTTAATTTACCTGCCAAACAAATGATTTAAAAACGTTAGAATTACTTTCACCACAACAAGCTTTAAAAGAAAATACTTATGACAAATGAGAGCAACTGTAATAATGTTATCATATGATATAGAATAAACAATAAAACTCACAGGGATATATATGTCCAATACATACTGTACATTTTAGTAATACTACTACCCTATGAATTAATGTTAGTTCTTTCCACCAAGACTTTGACTCATCACCGCTTTAGCTAATATCAGCTAATCTCCTGCTACAACACAGATGTGCGTCACTGGTTTTTGTTAAAAATACTTTTAACAAGTAAGTTTCACTAGATTACTTTGCAAATGATCTTACTCCTTCTTTTGATCATTTCCCATTTCAATCATAAATCTTTGGTAGATAGGTCTGAGCAGACCAGAAAATGAGGGGTGTTTGCTTCTATGCAGTCATTCCAAATGCAGAGGAACATTTTTTTTCTCCCAAATATATGAATTAATGGTAATTTCCAACATGACTGCGAAGTATTTAGCACTGATTACATTTTCAGAACATTTTTAAAGGTAAGGTGCAAGTTGTTCTCCTTTTTTAAAGTGCCTAAATTCCTCCATTTATTAGGCATCTTAATATATAATTAAGTGAATAATAAATGTATATATTAGAAAGACTATCAGAAACAGAGTTTGTGTTTGATAATACTGATAGGTATGTACCAGAGGAGTGGGCATGATTGTTGAGGTTTTAGGTGTCTCAGGTAAAGGAAATAGAGGGGAATTGAATATATAACAGAGAAAGTCAAAACCAGGAATGCAAGAAACATTAAACTGTAAAATTAATGACCAAACATTTTTTCCACCAACTTTATTATACAAATTCCTCGTGTAAGTAACTGTAGTATTCAAGGGGATCAATGCATTGAACAATAACAAAGGGGTTGTTTTTAAATTTATAGGCATGAAAATAAATTTCATTTGTGGACGTGGTCCCTGTCCGTACAACATAGTGTTCACATATCTTCACATTTCCGGTGGCCATTAACCATCCTCTCTCTCAAAATGAATTCATAATGGTAAAGACACACACCATATTCATTCATTTCTGTCTGGTTACTAGCTTTTGTAGCTCACTCGCCTGTGTGTTAATTCTCAGCTGTGAAAAGAAATCAACCAGTGTCGCCTCTTAGGGGTCTCTGACAATAGAAAGTCAACAAAATGTTATGAGTTTGGCACTGTACAATTCATTAAATACTAACACATCATTTGTTGAATCCTCAAGTTAATGTCACTTATAATTTTTCTGATTGTACTAGCTATACAAAATACAATACTTGCACAAATTAGATTAACCATTTATGAAATTGTGATCATGAGGTTCAATGGATATGGCTTGTGAGATTTTACAGACTTTGCTACAGACCATTTGTGGCTCTATTAAAAAAAATCTAATACTACTCTACGTCACCTGTCCTATTTCCCTGATAGAGACACTGCGCTCAGGTTTCAGTTACAGTGTCTCTCCAACATTCATCCCATCGGGTCAGGCAACAAACAACACAATGTCTCCAGTGTGGTGACTTTAATAGCTTCCAGCCTGTCCCAATCGTATCTATCCCTTCGCCAAAACACTGTCATCTACACATCTACGTTTAGAAGGCTGCAGAATCTTTCAATAGATGGTTTTCTACCCAAATGGAAACTTAAGTAATCACTTGAGATCAAGAAAGTATAAGGCCGATGTCTAGGCACAGTACGTACAGCTGGAAAATCGGCCATATCTAAGTGTGGATGACCTTAAAAATCCAGGCAGACTGTAAATGCCTCTCAGTGAAATGGAGCTGGCATGCATCAAGATTCAGAATGTTTTTAAAAACTTGAATTTACAACCTAATGTATGAAAAAAAACAACCAGTCATGAGAATGCTAGTTATCTAAAAACAATAAACACTTAAACCCCACCAAGTAAAAGAACATCACATCATAAGATAATTGTCAATAATAACCATAACAGTTATAATAATTATTAATAATAACACTCCATCATATTCAGAACAACTACATTTAGCACTGTGTATAGGAAGATTGTCCGAATGAAATTTGTTTGCCAGTTTTTTCATCTCTGTAGTCTTTCACATGACTGAACAACAACAAAAAAAAAACAGCCGTAACAAGTTCCTTCTTTGATTTCCATCTGTTGATTTGAAAAAAAAAAATCCTTTCTCAGTACAATACCTCCCATTGATCGGTCACACGTTCAGCCATTCTCGTACCGAATGTAAACCTTGAGGATGTGATACAAAGTAAGTTTGTATCTGGTGCAAATATCAGGGGAAAGATTTGTGCAAAGTTTTGTCTCTGTGATTCTCTTTGAACTGTGCTTAAATTGCTCTTTGTTTTTTTGTACACATTAATACTTAATACATCATGACAATATCAACACTAAATCAAGAGAAAGAGATAGCATTATATAGGGACCAAATATATCACATACTACAGTATAGGATAGGATAGCCCTTAGTATTGATACGCAATGTTATTGATGAAGATTTTTTTTCTCTTTTCTGTTTTTTTTCCCCCTCATACTGGCTGAAGTGCGATATGATACAGCAAGATCTTCGTCTTGAGGATGGGCAGGGCTTCCCAACCATCCGAGTCTCTACGGCGTTTTGAGCCACACAGGAGAAGGCCTCAGGTCTCCTGACTCAGAGGTGTTTTTTTGGCTTTCTCTGAAGCCGAATCCTTTGACTGTACAAAATATCACTGACTTGTATAATTTGTCACCTGGAGAGAATAATAAAATGGTGATTGTCAGACCAGCTTCCTCTGTGGTATTTTCTTTGTATCTTCATAAATGGCTTTTGAAGGACAGTTGTGTAAGTGCAACCTCTGCGTCACGGTCTTTTCATTTGTGCTCTGTAGAAAACCTTTTGCTCTGTGTACACAACCTACATAAAGAAAGTTGCCCTTTTATTAGTAAACTGAACACATGGGTCTGTTCTGTTAGCTCTTGACTCGTTTAGGTTAATGTCAAGATTGTTTTGAAACAGATGGCTGTATACTTTTTGGTAGCCCATTGTTGTTACGGTTAGGTCCCAATCTAAAGGTGGAAAAATTAGGGGGGAAAATAACCCATATTATAATCTACCAACAGTTAACACTTCTATAGTGTAGCAGTGATCAGAGTGTGAGTCCCTGTGGGGATTTGATCTAAGGTCACATGGAAAACTAGGCAACCCAGGCGTCAGAGTGGTAATGTGGGTACGTCCCCAAGTTTAAATCGGGCGCGGAGACCTGCCAATGGTGTCAGGCTGCTGAGTCCCGGTTAGAAAACAGCCCCCACCCATTCAGTCATTTACACAGGAAGCAACAACAACAACAAAAAAACAAAAAAAAACAGGTTTGCCTCCCTGTGTCAGGATGAGGTCGGTTCAGTAAATGTCAGATCTCCAAAAACCGCCATCAGGCACACGGTTCATGCAGACTCATCTGGTCCATCAGGCCCTTCAACTATGAGAGTCAGTTTAAGAAATCAGGTTGAAAGTCCAGCAGGTAGTCGGCTAAGTTCTCTATTAAATTCTGTGATAAATAATCCCCATGGTCCTCCTCTTTTTAAACTTTTTTTTAGTATATACATCTACATATCTTCTTAATCCCTATCTAATATGGCTCCTGAGTACTTTTTAGGAAAAACATATAAAAAACAAAATCATGAGCGACACTTCAGTTGGTTTTGTCTCACCCCCCAGTCAGTCTTTCTGCAAGTAATGGCACTGCTGTTTATGGCAATATGGCAAATTTTCTTACAAAATATGGCTGATGCAGGCTATCACATAAATGATACAGATATGCCCCACCTATATTTTTAATAAAGTATCATATTTAAGCTATTTAATAACAAGATAACACTAATCTGAATAGCCTAAGCACATTGTGTTGTAACCATACTTAATACTTGTAGTTTAATTTTCAGTTGTCAATCTAATGTCTAAATGCAGAAGGGTGATCTATTCCCATATCTTTGATGAGAGTTAATTCTATTTTAGGCACTAACCTCACACCGTCACCTCATTTTTACTCCCCGTCCTGATCCCCTGACTCCCCCCTCCACTTCCCCCTGACCCCCCGCCTCCCCCTCCTGGTATGAAATGTAGCTGCTCGATGGTGTTCTGCCTCTTCGCTGCGAAGGCCATCCTCCTCGCGCTGTGGCCCCCTAGTGTTCCTGTTCCCATGACTACACCCGCCCCGGGCGCCTCCCCTGCCCAGCCCATGCCCCCCGCTCATGTGCCCCGTCATGGCCGTGCTCCTCTCCTGCTCCCGCCCGGATGTGGGATGAGAGTTCATCTTGATCATGTGGTGTCGGTCCAGGGAGGGTGTGGCGCACACATTCTGCTGGGACTGGGCCTTCTGCTGGCGAGGAAGTGTGGGGACAATCCCTCCTGGTGTGTGGGCGTAAGGATCCACGACCCCCATACCGCCACCTCCCATCCTCTCCTCCAAATGGTCTGGGGACATGAGCAGCCGCTCCTGCCTCTCTTCTCTCCTGTCCTGGGGCTTCCTTGTGAGAGTCTGCGTGTTGGAGTTCTTATTGGAGGCAGCCATGGCTTTGTAGTACTGGTGCTGCTGGTTCTTGGATAATCTGGACAAGGTCCCTGTGTTGCCTGGAACGTCACTCATGTTGAGCAGCTGGTCGCTGGACTTGACTTTCCTCGGGGGTTTGGACAGAGTGTCGTAGTTGGGGTTGTACTGCGGCTCTGGGGGATCCAAAGGGTAAGGATTGGGGGTAGGTGAGGCAGGCATGCCAGAAGGTGGTGGCGGGATCCAGGGACGGGCTGCATGCCTTGGAAGGGTTCCTCTCCCACTGAGTGTATAGTCTCCTCCCCAGTGGAGATGGTGCTGGGAGGACTGGAGGGCCGGCTGGGCTGTGTGAGGCCTGCGCTTGGTGGTGCAGTAACCGGAAGAGTACTCATCGAGACCTTTCTCTGGAAACCAAAGAAAAACATTTCTGAATTGTTATCACCACCGTAAACAGCATTAGCACATAATGACACATCCTGCACTTTGCCGCAGTGTCAAGAGTGTCACCGTTGTGTCAGTGCTTATGGACCAGCTGCAGAGACAGACATTTCTTAAACATGTACAGTAGGTACATACCGAGGCGTTTAAGTGAGGAGTATCTGTTGAGCTCTGGCTTGGTGGCACTCTCATAGGAAGGCGGCAGCTGAGCCAGGTTGTGCAGGGAGTGGTGGAAGGCAGGCTGGGATTTGGTGTTGTTGTGTTTACTGGAGAGCAGGGTGCCTCCAGCCGCCAGCTGAGCATTGTTCATTCGAGGTGTGCGCTCTGCAGAGACCACAGGGAGAAAAAGCACCATTTGTTAAATGAGATTTGCTCCTCTGGATATAGCACCCTGCACGTAGCAGTATGTGAATGTTCCAGCATCCACTAGAACACAACATTTCAATCTTATGAAATCATTATTACTGTTGCGATGAATAAGTCTACTTTACCAAATTGAATACGGTAAATGAAGAATTGTGGCATTTACATATTATTTACATAGGAGCTCAGCTGTCACCAGCTGCCTTACCGATGGTGGCGGTGTGTTTCGGGCTGGAGCCGGATGAGTGGATGAAATTGTGTTGCAAATTGCCCACTGTAAGTCAAAAGAATAATTGTTCTTTAGCATACAAAGATTGTCTGCTCCAATTCAACTTCACTTACTTTTACATGCACAGAGCTTCTTATATTTTAAATGCACTTATCTCAAAATCCATGTTCACTTTTTGTGTCTTTAATTAGAGTCCTTATTCTATAATAAAAAAAGTAGTTGCTATATATTTCAGTAATCACAGCATGTTCATTGAAAAAAATGATAAAAAACAATCTAATTTATGTTGTACATTTTTTTTTCCTATAATGCCACATGGTTACAGCCTTGGGACTGGGAAAAAATAATTCTTCATGCAGACGTGACAAATACGATGTGTCTGAGCATACAGAGGATGCAGTTACAAAAGCTCTGATTGTGCCTCCGAGTCTTCTATTCACTGATGCAATAAAAAGCCTGAGACGCTCACATCTGTTGTCCTTGCTGGGTAGGCCTGGGGCGTAAAGATTTTTTGGAGCTCTCCCCAGTGTGCCCTGTCCGTCGCCTACAGTCAGAGCCACGCTGTTGTTTCGCTCGTCCTGCTGGACCGGGCTTGACTGGTGCCGCAACATGTCCACCAGGGCTCTGATTATATCACAAGCAAAATGGAAAAAAATTGATAAAGAATTAGCTTCAACTATCGGCTGTTCACTGACTATCACGTAGAATTCAGAGTGATAAAACGTGTCTAGCACCTTGAAGTCCTTCTGCTGAGCAATCTTTGTTCTAGGACAAGCAATTTTGTGGTTATAATTTTTGCAAATGTATCATTATAAAAATTGGATTGGTTCATATTAGAAAGTGAACAGAAAAACCATATTTATGGCACTCTTAGGTTTGAGTGCAATTTATTTAACATCTTGTTTTTTCTCAAAAAAGTTGCTGTGTTTGAATTGGATTAGAAGGAATCTTAAAACAACAAAGAGACATTCATCATTAACGTCATTCTTTGTGCACCATCATCACTAATATCTGTCCAGATGTCTTTTCAAATACTGTAGCCCATGATAGAAAATATCGAAACAGAATCTAATAAAACAGAATCTTTAATACAGAGGTTTCCAGCCACATATTAGTTTAAATCCCAGAGGAATCAACACAGCCATGAATTCCACGGAAGCCACTTGACAAAGATCAAATATGTTTCAGAGGATGACTAATGACAATATTCTGTGGCCAGAATGATGAATCTGGGCCATTCATGGAAGCCTGAAACCCTAATCCCATTACAGTTTTCATACATGCGATAAAGCAACAAATACTGGAGTGAAGTTATGAATGCAGCAGTGAAAGGGGAGAAAAGAAAAAAGTCTCACCTAGGCATGTTGAGGTCCCTCTGATTGGCTTCCTGCTGCACCTTATTGAAGGCCACCTTGATGCCCACAGCCACGGCCACCATAAACACCACCACACCACCAATGACAAATCCTGTGTTGTGGCTCTGCTGCTTCAAAGGATCAAAGTCCGGGTCAGGACCTTGTTCCTCTGAGATGATCATGGAGTCTGTCTGCGGCTTGGCCCAGTCTGGAGAGTCGTAGTTCTTGCAGTTGTCCTGGTCCAGCTGCCGGCTCCGATCTGGACAGCAGAAGCGGTAGTGGCAGGTCCCACAGCAGAAGACGAAGGTGTCCTTGGAGCAGTTGAAAGCGCTGTCAAAGTGTCCCATGACATCATAATAACCCCGACACACATCAATCCATAGATCCATCATGCGAGGTCGAATGGGTGCCACCTGGGCTGCTCCTAAAGGAGGTGCGAGAGCCTCCGCTGACGTCACATTCTTGGGGAACATGACCTGGGGAAGGGGTCTGGGAGGCGTCTCCAGAACGCCCCCTGAGGTTTCTGGAAGTTTCTCAGGAGCTTTCTTCCTGCCTTGCAGAGCAGCGGGCCTGATGTTGGCCTGCATTGCCAGGAGCAGCAGAGAGGGGCTGGGGTCGGTCTGAGGCTGCTCGGTGAACAGCCTACCTGAGTGGTCTACTTGCTGAAGAGGAGGGGGGGGCGAAGAGGTGTCCACAGCAGCGGTGAGGAGGGAGAGGAGGGAGAGCAGGGAGACGGCGAAGACTCGGAGATTGGTGGTGGGCGTCATTTTTACATGACTAAGAGACCGAATTTCTGTTGTTCAGTCAATGCAGTTACAATAATGTATCCGCTTTGCAATTCAACCCACTAGAACAGCATGTGAAATATTCATGTAGCATGTACGACCTGCTAGAATCTGATGATGTATAGTTTCATTCAGTTATGTTTGATGATTAAATCTGAAGCTTGATTTTCTTTTTTTTCAGAAACTGTGTACTTATACAGTGTAATATTAGAAAAAGACTGCCAACAGTGGGAAAAAAAAAGGACCAACACTGTCAGAATCTCTTGGTAGGTTTTCAATAATTGCTGATAATGGTGTTAAAATTATTTTAATTTACTGCTAGAGAGGAACTCTGAATGCATAATGACTTCATCTTCTGCCCTCAAAAAACACCTCTCAAGTCTAGAACACTGTGCATCTCTGCGAAAAGGACAAATTAAAAACAACAATCTTCATGCTTTTAGTCCTTAATGCCTAATCCTCCATGTCCACCTGCACAAAAAAAACAAATATCTGACTTGGTGCTGGATGAAAATATGTTTTTTGCAACCACAAAGGCCAGTGAAAGTTAAACACATAGAGTGTTATTCATTAAGATATGGCAGTCCAAGACATTCCTGTGCTGGACATGGCACTTCAGCAATAGTATATGGCCTGTGTTGTATTACGTGTAAACAGTTTGATCTGGTTTGTTTATTCCTGGACAATGTGTTTAGTTTGGCACTTCGTACATTCGGAATTGGCACTTGTTTAAGCTGAAAGCAATTCTTTCTTGGAAAATTGTATGAAATCTATCATTCTTTTTATATATTTTGTGTTTTTTGGCATTGTTAACAATCAAATACAATAAAGACACAGCGTCGCTAAAGAAAGCTGTCTATTATTGATGCCAAATTTCGATGAAGATCCATGTAACCTTTTGTAGGCACTCGTCACATCTAAAGAAACACCACATATTTTACCTCTATGTTTTCTAAAGTGGGATTATTATGCATCAGTACTCGGCTGGCACAGACAGTTTGTGCGATCGGGCTGGGGGTGATAATGAGGGAGGCTCGGCTTATGTGCAAGAAGACTGTAACAGATGAAAATCGAGAGTAAGCATAAACCAGCCTGTAAAACTCATTGAAATGTTATAGATTTGAAATGCTCTGTATTCAGCTTTCGGGCACAGAAAGTTGCCCCTGTCATTCAACTGTAGCTCTAATTAGACATGAACTGAATGGCTTCTCCCTGTGACATGTCTCTCTAAGTAAGACAATTCCTGATTGGTCTCGGAGGTTGAAAGAATATCACTGTTGTTGAGAAATATGTAAATGCGTGAAGTTATTGTGTTGGAGGTGTTGGCAATAATAGACAGAAGCAGATCTGTCTCCCAGAGAAATTATAATTACATGTAATTATCAAAACGTCCCTATCTGTGGCAGAGAATGTAGGCACAGACGGGGGGAGACAGAATGCTGAAATCACCGAGGGCTCCGCTTGTTTCAGTTACATGCTCCTCTGACCTTCTGAGGAGGGTTCAGCAGAGGAAAAATGAGCGAGACAAAGGACTGAAGAATTTCTCCTTTGGTCGGATATAAATGTTCTGCTTGATTTCCAGAATTGTCCTCAGGGTTTGCACGTCGATAATCAAACCTGGAAGGTCCACTGCAACACAAGTGAGAAACATGATTAGAAAGCAGCTCTGCAACCTCTGTGTGTGCACATTCAGAGCACACATATGCTGCCATTATTTATTAATTGCATTATGTGAGCAGATGTGTGTACTCTGTGAGGTGGATTAGTGTGTTAGTGTGCCTGTTTGGTTGCAGGAGGAACACGAGAATGGGAGCAGGCAGAGTGATACATGCAGGGACGGGATTTAAATGAGCAAAAAGAGATTGTGGCGAGCGGGGAAGAGCCAGAGGTATAGATGTGCAAGAGACGACCGTGAGTGGGAGGGCGGCGTGTGTGGGTGGCACAGAATCAAGTACATTTCTCCCAGCACTTACCAATACAACATCACACAAACAGCACCACTAAACAGAGCTGCAAATACAGTCAATGCCACACACAAGAAGAGCGCTAATAACAACTATTAATCAGATGCAGTTGGATCAGTTAAACGGGTACTATCTGAACTGCAACAAAAAAAAAAAATCTTTGCGTGTGTACATTTTTGCATGTGAGAGACTATAGTAGGCATTCTTTAATCCTTGTAGTCTTCTCCTTGCTCCCCTCCTTCTCCTCTTTTCTCCCTCATTCTGCCTTTCTCTCTCTTTCTCAGATTCTGTGCGTGGGTTGAGGCAGCTAACTCTCTCAGAATAGCACTGCAGCTCTGTCTGTGTGTGAGTGAAAGAGGCAGTGAAAGAGAAGGGAAGCAGAATCCAATCTACACCCATTAGACCAACCAGATTTCAAAGTCACATCTGCTGCATGTCTCTTGGTTGGAAAGATGACACTGACGATGTGTGCTTCCTTTCAACTTTCACTGCCAAATTTCGGCTCAGAGACCGCTAGAGATGTTCTGGCCGAAAATGTGAAAACTCCCCAGATAAATGTGCAATTACAGCTTTTCAACAATGAGTAATATTTAATATATAAATATTTAAAAGTAGAAATTCATGTGCTTTTATCAGTGTGAAGCCATACGCTTTAAGTCTTATCACATCTTTCAAAGTGTCTCAATATACAAAAGAAGCGCATGTTTTCCCGTGGGGCTCTCTATTCTGTGCTGTTGAGGCAATGCAGTAGAACGAGGGGGGAGAGAGAGAGAGAGAGAGAGAGAGAGAGAGAGAGAGAGAGAGAGAGAGAGAGAGAGAGAGAGAGAGAGAGAAGCTGGGAACCAAAGGGTGAAGGGCACACATTCAGAGCTGTGAAGATGCGTCCCTGAGTTACGTGGCCACTGGAGGGAGAACAAACCGTTTCAACAGACTCAAGCGTTTGTATAAAAGCAAATGAAGCAAACGGCGCCCTCACTTTTTATTATTGCAGGAAGCCGAGCAGCTGTGCATACGGTCTTGAGCGTGCAACAATTTCAACAGGTGTTTGTTGGAAATTAAACAAAATGGCTTCATATTTCTATAGAAATGCTGCTGCAAAACACGCATTGTGATAGGAATCAATAAGGGCAACCCGTAAAAGAAAAGTCGATGAAAAGAAATGTAATTAAAAAAAAAAAAAAAGAATGCTTTGCTTTCCTTCTATCTTTAAAATAAATGCTGCGCAATGACATCGCATCATAAATTAGACAAAGTCTCTTCTGGCTCCGACATTCATTAGGTTAATAAGTTGCAATGAACAAGCATGCAGTTTATGGACATGACTTGCATGTAACAGTGGGCTAGAAGTGCGTGGGTGTATCCGTACCGGTGTGTGTGTGTGTGTGTGTGTTTGTGTGTGTCCAGTCCGGCTGGCTGTGTCTTTTCGTGTGTCTTAAAATCATTCTTTTTTTCATAATGTCTTCATTAATCTGAAGTAGTCGATTCAACTGTATAAGTGATGAAAAACATGTCAGCGGCGCACAATGCCCGTGTGGAGAGGTTTTTTTTTCTGTGGCGCAGCTTTCATCCAAATGTTTTGTTTGAGAGCCTCCGGCACAACTGATGCGTCCAAACAGATGCCAAACTCGTTTATCACACAGACACACACACGCAATGAAGCCATGGAACAGTTCTTTGTCCGTAATTAAATGCCTGATGTTGCGTGAATAAAAAGGTGCATAATGTCGTGTCTTACCTGTGCGTTGCTCTGGGGTTTGATGCTGGAGAGGAGCGCTGGGAGAGCCTGCGCACTGGATCTCTCTCAGATGGAAGCCTGTTATTGTAGCACAGGATGATCAGGACAGCGTGAACTGTTGCCGGATCTGCCACCTGTTTTGAATGATTTTTTTTTTCTCCCCACCTCAACACGCTGCAGTTCTCACTCGCTCTTCTTGGTTTGTCTCCACCCGGCGTCTTTTAATCCTTTATTACGGCAGAAAGAAAACAAAAAAAGACGCGAGCAGCAGACACATATATCAGTGTCCATAACGAGATGTTCTCAGATTTTCTGACAAATGAGACAATTAAACTAAGCACTACACAAATAAAATGTTTTACAGCAGAAGTTGTAGAGGTAGACTACGTTCCTGGAAAAAACGCAGAAATTCAGGGTGCATAAAGTCACCAAAGAAGAAAAGATTTCACTAATTGAACTTTTCCCCATCTAGAATTGAATGAGCTGGCTGCCTTCATGAATTCCAAGCGAGATATAGGTTACACCGCCTAACTGCGACTGGCCTGACGGAGGTCCGCCGGTGGTGGAGCGCTGTGATTGGTCGCTCAGTCTGGTGCTGATGAGACTCTCAGCTCGCGCTGCTGCTCATGATGATGCTGCTGGTCATTAAGCCCATTCAACTGGTGGCGTTCATGTGTATTCCCCTCCAATTCATTTCCCTCTTTAACTGAATGACCCTGGAGACTTACTTTTTACCAGCTCTGGCAAAAAAAATATATCGGTCAGGGATTTAGCTACAATGTTCTGCCATCCTAGTAAAAGGCAAGGATGAAACAAAGCTACAAAAATGTCAGGGGAATGATGTACAAATTACAAGCAGCCGGTAAATTCAGCAACAAAAAAAAAGGAAAAACCTCCAAGATGCAAAATGTGTGTGTATGTTTTTTTTTCTTTGTATGTGTGTGAGGGAGAGAAAAGAGAGACATGGTTGCCACAGCAACTGTGTCATTATGTTGGTGGCAATTATGAAAGCAATGAAAACGGGGAAGGGGAGAGGATTGGCGCAAAAGCTTTAACACTGGAGCATGAACGAAACTGTCAATTAGACCCAAACCTGCACTGCCAATTCAGAGATTTTGGTAGAGCAGCAGGGACATGTAGAAAACCACACACACACACACACACACATACAAAAACATCAGAGTGAAGGAAACAGTGTGAGGTTTGTAAGAGATGGAGTTGGCTTCACACGGTTACTGCCTCCTTACAAGCCTTAGATCAGCAGCACATGAATGAAACCAGATTTGGGTCTTTTAGTAAAATTGTTAACAATTATTGTGATGCTTGATTTGAACTAGCACATAGGGCCAAGAAAAGGACTCATAATTAATACCATTGTATTATCTTCACAGAATCAGAATGAGACTGTTGTTGTTCTACGAAAAACAACAGACAAGCATGATTTCCCCTTTACCCCTGGCCCAGACTGCAACATATCAGATTTATTGCAGATTACTTTAGGTAAACAGCAAAGCTAAAGGATGTGTTGAGCAGGTGGGGAAGCATTTCCAAAATGTGCTTTTGGGACGGTGTAAAGGGTTTGGTGAAGCCCCAGGTGTCTAAGAAAGGCCTGATTATTACCTGCATGGCAGGCTGCTATTTCTACACAGGTGGGTGGGCTGCTGCATGTCTGCAGTAGAGGCCAGTGGAGCCCTTCATTAGACGCTCCACCGGGTGCACTTTCACTCACTGGTTTGCTGGGGTGGATGCAATTACTGATTCCCCCTCATAATAGTTATTCCTTCACTGCAGAACAGGAGAGCACTATAAACAAAATTAAGCGATATTATACGTCACTGAACAGTAAAAGATTCTCAGCGGATATACTGATGCACATACACTCATTATTGCACAACACTTCACTGTATACCCTGATAAACAATTATGCATAGAAATGCCACTCAATCAAGAGCAAATGACTCATTTTTCATTCCACTTCTGGTGTTTCAATGTTTTATTAATTTAAATAATTTAAAATGGACACAAAATATCCAGCCAACAGTCTGCACAGTGACAGGAGTTCCAGGGGCACCTTTTCCATCCAAATTAACACAACGCTTCAGTGTGTTTCCTTGGGAAATGTAGGCCCAGCATGCATTTAGAAAAGAGAGAAAACCTGCCCAGGAAACCCGGCCAGTGCGACAAGTAGGGAGACAAGCTCATTCAAACGTGGAGATTTTCTTACTGATGGCTCTTCAGATACCCCCATGGCCTGTCTGGAATTGGGTATGTGAGAGCACAAAACTGCTTTGTAGGGAATCAGGGATATATGTTATGCTTTCTACAAATAATAGATTTTTTTATAAAGTAGTCTGGCAACCTACCCTGTTCCCTTGAAGCCACTGATCTAGGTCTTCACACAAAACTACAAGACAACCGAGTATGAACATGACAATTATAAACAACTTTTGAATATACTGGACAGTGAAACCATTTTAGAAATATTTAAAAAAAAAAAAAAAATGTTTAAAGGGGTTGAAATTCTGTGAAGAACATAACAGGCCTTTTATAATCCACTAATGACTCTTTCCATACCTTTGCCCTACTGGATTATAATATGAAAAATACAGTTTAAAATCAGTTTAATGTTTGGTGTAATAACATTTCTCTCCTTAATGTGAACATACTGCCGTCTTACATTATAGTTAAACAACTTCTACCATTATTTCCTTTGAGTAACATCCTGGTTTAGGCTCACAAGTGAGTCTGGCTGAGCAGTACACAGTACCATCACAGCAGCATTTACCAAGAATCACTTCAAGAAGAGCTGATGTCAGGCAGAAATAAGAAGCAATGTTTTAACAATAAAATCCAAGTCCTGTATTGTTCATTCACACCTGGCCACAAGAAAAATACAACTGATGGCATGATTTCAGCAGTCTAAGGGTTGTCTTTTTCTATTAAAAGTCTAACAAATATATTTCATTGTGTCTTAGAAATAACTGACACACCTCTAATGCCAACAGGACAAACTTCAGATATGGGTACAAAGTGGAAAGTCTGGATAGGTGGTAGAAATAGTCAGAAAAGGAAACGAAAACATCATCGGCACACTTCAATATTTATATTTACACACTCTCGCACTCACACACACAAACGCACTGAGAATTTTACTGAGGTATTAAAGTCGCCTCAATGCACGCTTCTTATCTGCTTTCTTTTTCCCTGCTACATTACTAGAGTTATTACTACTGTTACTATTGCTGCTGGTTGTACTGGCTCCGTTAGCTCCGTTACCCAGAGCGGCTGGCACAGCTGCTGCACTAGGCCCTGCTCTCTTTGTAGGGTCGCCTGCATGCTTTTTTGGCTGTGGGCCCTCATTAGGGTCCTGAGGCGCCCCAGAGGTCCCACCAGGCCCACCCATGGCGTGGATCTCTGTGAGTAGACGAGCTCGGGACTCATATTCTGCATAGTCCTCTAACAGTAATCGCCCGGCCTCTTCGTTCAGAGCAGACTCAGGATTTGGATGGATGAGAAGACACTTTATCGTCTGAGAGAAATGAGAAATGTGGAAAAAAAAAAAGGAAACAAAATTGTAACACAGCTGAAACAAAGATAGTAACACAGATGAAAGACAACTTCAGATGTGTGGTTGTTCTTACAAGTAAGACATGTCGGAGGCCAAGTTCTGCCTTCCAGTCCCTCTTCAATACGTTGACACAGATCTCTCCCTTGTGGCCCACATTGGGGTGAAAAATCTTGGTCAGGAAATACCCCTTGGGTGGAACCGCAGGGAAGTCCTTCCCGAGGACCAGGCGCATTCGGAAAACGCCACCGGCAAACGGAGTTCCCTCTGTCAAATCATAAAGAATTAATCTTGTGAACAGTATGCTCTGAATGTGCCAAACTTGCAGCAGAAAAAGAAACAGGGTCATAGAGCGACAAAATAAAAACAGAAAATCTTTCACCCAAGTCCAAATAATTAAGTTATATAATATACTGCATTTCCACTAAAATAATACTACAGAAATGCTCAATATGTCCAATGCAATTATCTGACAGAAATACTAGTATTAGGAGTCAGTGAATTAAACTGATGCAAAGAGATTGTACAGCGGAGGACTGTAATGGGGACTGTCTGGTTCTTCAAGGCCTACTCAACAATAACAGGGTCTTTGCCAACAAGCTTCGAGAAACAAGATGACATTGTCAATGTCAGCTGTGTTGTCATCTTACAACCTTCAGAAGAAAAAAAAACTACAAATCCTTACATAAAGGCCTTTATACAATGGCACATACATTTTTGCAGAGCATTGGAAAACAACAATTTCTACATTTCAAAAGTGCTGCATTAATAGACACAATATGAAGAAGTTTACCTCACAAAAAATGAATGATTTTAAAGATGCGAAATAACAAGATGTTCCATGAAGCTGGGAGCAGATCTTGACATTAAACCATTAAAGCCAAATAAGCAGAAATGCCCAGACAACTTTCAAGTCTGACTCATCATTAGCTGGAGAGGTTAATCGGTAAGAGGTGTTATAACCTTGGTGTGATGATAAAAGGTACTTACTGCCAAAGACTTTTCAAAATACATTACTGAATATGTGGTGATATGCAAATTGACATATTGTACGCTGCAAGTATGACACAGATCAAACATTTCTTTGAGAGGTGCAATTAAAAAAATCCCTATAAATAAAAAACTGCAACTTAATAGCCGTCATAATAAGCAGTAAGGAGATCAAAAGAAATACAGATAACTTATTTCTACCTCATGAGGAACTTTACACATTTGTTCCTACAAGTGTTTCAGTCTAACGTCTAATCATGATCAACGTTAGTTTGATATCACACCCACTGAAATCCTTACCAGGTCCTTCAATGGCTGTATGCAGTTCAGTTATGTCTTCGTCACTGGGATAAATCTTGATACCCTCAGGCGGGTCTGCTGCTAATGCTGAAACCTCTTTGTAGACCAGACGAAGAACATGAGGAGGCAAATTCTCCACATTGGAGTTCTGTGGAGAAAGACAGTTTAGCTTTGAATATGTAGCGACACAGTGAGCCACAAACTACATGAGGAAAAATGTGAAAGATTTTTGTTTGACACTGCAACAAATCTAAACAAATTGTTTAGTGATGTCCACTGATGTTCAATAGTACTGACGATTTTTTTAAAGTTACAAAATAGGAGTGTATCCGCTTTAACTAAATAGAATAATAGAATTACTTTATTGATCCCAAACTGGGAAATTGTGGCGTTACAGCTGCAGGTTATAAAACACACAATGAGAGTAAAAAACACAATCTTAGCAAATCTAAATGCAATATAATATAAAATACAAAGTAAATTAATAGTAAAAAATATCAAAACTAAGAATGTGACTATATACAACCAGGATTTAACTTAGCATTACTAGTCTTAAATATGAAAGATTAAATATGAAAGATTAAATATGGAAGATTAAATATGGAAGATTAAATGTAAATGTGCAAAAACAGAGTCATAAATGGTATCAGTCGAATTAAAACTCAAAATCAACTGATAGCCTCTATATTTAATCTTACTAAAGGACACACATGACGACACTTTACATGTTTGGTTGCTGTTCAATAATAATAATAGTAATAATAATTTTAGCTCTGACAAAATGGAAAACTGGAACAGCTTATGAGAGCTTCACATGTCTCACATCAATAGAAGTCAAAGAAGTTTCTAACAAAGGCTGTGTAAGAACAATTAATAATTGATAAACACAAATACAAAAAGCCGGATTTAATGTGTTTAATGTCAAACATCAGCCGAACGTAAGTTCACCACTAACATTACGCTCGTCTGTCATTAGCGTTAGCATTACTAGCTTAGCCTCGATCTGATAACTTATACAGAAAGAAAAACTGTTCTAGAGTCTTTAATTCATATTGCAAATCATTACAATTTTGAATTTAATAGTACAATTGGAAAATTAATCTTAAATTTACAAATTATAGTCTGGGAGTCGAGAAAGGAGCAATTACCGACTTCAAATACTCGACGGCTGGCGACGGCTAAACATCGAAACAAGCTAGCGTTTGCTGCTTTTAGCCATTAGCAATAATATCAAGCCAAACGACTTACCATCTTCAAACAGAGTTCTGCTAGAAAGGAGGATGTCTGCGTGCTTACAGATATGAGGAGAGTTTTCCTTTATGTTCAATTCACTATCTTTAGTGAAAACTTAACCGGGGTTAACGGGACACTATTCTTTTCTTCTTTTCGTTGACACAGGAACAAAAATACGATCCTCTGTTTAACCTACTGCCACCGACCAATGGGCAGCTCAGTAGGGTGACACGTCAGAAAGATTTGGCCAATCGTGATACGGTATTGTCTTGACGTCGTAGTCGGAAACCCAATCAGCCACACAGAGTGGGGAACGTCACTAATGCTCGGCCGTCATTGGCCCGTTTGAAAAATTCAAATCCCCCATGAAGCGACTGAAAAGATCAATCTTTTTGTGGGATACAATAAAAGGCGAACAAGATTCAAAAGATAAACTCCTCCTTTAACTACGACTTCAAACAGGTGAAGAAAAACCTTAAATGAATATGGTAACAAATCAAATTACTTATATTTTGATAGAAAATGTTTGTAATTTGTAAGTAGCCAAATAATTGTGCAGATGAAACCAGTGCGCTCGAATACACAATATATTTGCTGTAGGTTAAGTTTGGTAGTTGTACTTTTTGTTTCAGTATGAACGTCTGCATATAAACTATGATTTAAAACTTTAAAATAAATATGGTGGAGTGTAATATTTGTCCTGCAAATATAAAAAAAGAAAATATACCATGTTGCAAAAATAGTTATTCTCAGGAGAAGCATTTGTATCCTAAACTGTGGTTGAATCCAGTGCCTAAGAAATCTTCTTTTTGTTAGCTTTTACTGCTGCAGACGATCAGACATAATCCAATCACCAGTATATTCAAATGGTGATTCATTACCATAGAAACCATCATCCGACACCAGAGGGCGCTTTAACACAGCGGCCAAAGCCACGACAGTCTGGTCGGTAGTGTGTTGTTTGCGTATCCAAGGAGACAAATTGTATTCAATGTTTAATTTAGTCCTTTATTTCTCTTCTTCTTTTTTTTTTTTTTTAAACTTATAGAAATAAGAATAACAGAATAAAGCGGACGCTGCTCAAGTGTGAAGTGAATGCCGTAAATGGGCGTGACAGCTGCTGCACAACAACAACAACACAACGGATCTGCTTCCGGTTTCTGGATGTAGCTGTCAGACACCAGCATTGTATTATTTGAGAATCGCTTCATCAGCAGGTCAGTTGCTTAGTTTATTCATCGTTGATTAATTATTGTGGACTTTTGACGTTGTTTAACCAGCATGCTGTCACTTTAGCCACTGTAGCTCTGTAGTTATCCTTTGCCTGGATGACCTGCAAACTGCGTTAGCTGCCTTATTCATCGCTTTGTGTTCTCCTGTGATTCACTGTGTTTACAGTACCTCTTCTGTGTGCTTGTTTGTCATGATAAAGTGTTAGTATGAGCGAAGGAGAGGTGTTTCATGAGAAGCAACGATTGGAGCTGTGCGCGATTCATGCACTGAACAACGTCCTCCAGGAGCGGGTGTTCACCAAAGAGACAGCCGATGACATCTGCAAAAGGTAGGGTAACGTTGTAGATTGCTTAGAAAGCAACAGAGACAACAAGAGATAGAGGAAAGAAAAAAAAAATCTTGTGAATTTCTGCCAATATTTGAATCTAAAGAGCTAAACTAAAGCTTCTTAACTGGTTCGTTTCTTAACTAAAATATGTCCCCTGTTTGGTCCATATAGTTTTATAATTGTGACCTGTTATCCAGCAGCAGTTTGGATCCAGGAGGTTCATCTCTTTGACTTTAGAAATGTCTTCTTCTGGTCCAGAATGATAACATGTTTGCAGGACACGAACATAATGTTGAAAACATTCGATTGAAACAGCCTGCCATTGATGTACCAGCTGAGAAGAAGAGGAAAGAGGAGGGGGACGGTGTTGATTCTGCCGCAGGCAAAACATTTAATTCCAGATTGACTGGTGGGACTCTGTAGGTTCTCAAAGCCCTGTTTGAACAGCAAACTTCTCTACAAAAGATTGTTGTAAAATAAAACCTTTTTGCTTTTCCTGAACCGGGATCTCTATGTGTCTGAATGCTGGGAGCCACAAAGAGATGTCGTATTTTTGTTCACACCCTGCCCTAGTTTCATATAGCAGTAAGGTTGCAGAGTGTATTAAAAGTGAATAATAATAAAATCCACTCCCTTATTTTTCATTAAATAGAGGGAATGAAAATGTAAATGTGTTCTCTAAGAACAGGAAAGTCAATTTGACACCTCAAAAAAAACATTGTGTGTAATGTGGCTTCTATTTAGGAAGTTATTTTCTAACTTAATTGACTTCGAGATGCAATGAGTCATGATCTCTGTGGCTCATGACTGAGGTTAAAGAATAATGTGCTGAAAACCCTCTGACCTGATTTCAAACAATGTAGCTGTTTCTGAACTTAGTCATTGTGGATGTTTAGTTTGAAAGCTTACCCTTAAGTGGACATTCATACTGAAAACAAAACAACAAACCTCAGAGAGGTCCTACATTTAGTTCGCAATCATATTGAGAAGCGGTCTCTCCACCCACCATGGCCAAATATAAAACTGAGCTGTACCCAAACTACAAAGTGGTGTGGATGACCCTTTTTTTTTTTTTTTTTAAATCTCTGTTGCTCTCATTAATCATCTTTGCAGACTGGCTCCACAGTGTGTGGTGAACCCTCATCGCTCAGTGTTAGGCACTGGGAATTATGACGTCAACGTCATCATGGCGGCACTACAGAGCCGGGAACTGGCTGCAGTGTGGTGGGACAAACGCAGGTAAGCTTGACTACACAAACGTGTTTGTTTAACTCTGTATTTCTGGGCTTGTCTCTTTCATTGGATTGTGCGTTTGATCTTCTTTCATGCAAAAGTGTCAAAAGATAAATACAACTGCTTGGAGGTGAATGATGGAACAGCTTTTCAGAAGTTCACCAAGCATCAGCTTCTTGTCTCTGCATTTAAAGTACAAATGTATCTTTTTGACTTAGATCTAGATGCAGAGCACTCATTGCTACACAAGTTGTATGAATTGCATTTTGCAATGTGAATCACATGTTTTTTTACAGACATCTAGTATATCTGAAAATATTTGAACCAGGAGGAGTGGGATTTTTGCAACATGAAATTCATAAAATGTGCTCAAAGACAATATGAATGACTAACAGAGTTTTGACGTCCCTTTCAAAAATACAGGACGGTTCAGAGCCTTTGCATGTCAAAGGTCCAGGGTTTCATTCTTAATGTCCCATCACGGGTATCTCTTGGAATCGTCTCCCTCCCACTCCGACGGCGGCACTGGCTCGCAGTTCGGCAAGTTAATGGTCAATATTACAACTTGGACTCCAAACTGAAGAGTCCTGCCTGTATTGGAGGAGAAGCAGAACTACGGTGAGGATATATTTCCATCTCTAAAACATTTTCAGGGCTTTTCAGAGTGGACATGGAATCTCTGTGTGTGTGCGTGCGTGCGTGTGTGTGCGTGCGTCTATTCTGAGTGGAATCAAATGTTGTCGTTTGTTCTCTGCTGTAACTCTTGTCACCCAGTGACTCATCCGACATGAGTGGTCACTTGAGGCTTACCTCACTGTGTGTTTGTGTCAGAATGCTGCACTCTAGAAATCTACCCTCTGTCTCTGTCCAGAGTGATTGTAACCTCTCCTCTCGTGTTGTCCTTTTTTCTCTCTTTTAGCACGTTTCTCAGTGAGCAGCTTTCTCAGGACGTGGCCGAGATGCTCCTGGTCGTCCAGCGGGAAGTGGAGGAGGATGGCTCGTGGCTGAACTCTGATAACCCCAAGAAGTGATAACTTGTGACAGGACAAAGCATGGGAACGGAAAAAAAACTCCTCTGGGAAAATATGACTTCTCTTTTTTCTTTTTTTTTACAAAACTGAAACCTCATGACAGAAAAGTCTTCAGGGAATCCATTAAAATCCATTCAGTATCTACACTCAGACTCAGAGAAGAAATTCCAAAGAGAAGCAGAGACATTTGTTTACTCCTGACATGAAGAACTGTTTTGATTGTAAAAGCTATAAAAGCTACAATTGCTTGGATGTGACTTATGTGTCTGCGTAGTCCTACTATTGTTCATTTGTTTGAACTCTGGGTAGCTAATATAGTCTGAGCTAAATGTGCGCAAGTTTGATGATAGCTGGATTTAGACATGACTGATTTCTCACCGTTTTGTGCATGAACAAACATCTGCAAAAAGAAAGTTAACTTTGATAACTAAAATCAGATGAGTATGGTTTAGCAGAATTTTCCACCTAAAATATCCTTGTCCTAGATTTTTACATTCAGGTTTGCCAAATTCAGATCAGTGTGTACGTGCAGGATGGTTGTGTCAAACTGGAACAGTTATGAAGCAGAAACAGAGTGGACCATCTTTCCCCCCCCCAAGACCTTTTCTCTGAACCTTCTATGCACTACATAGTAAAATGTGTTAGCACTATTTGTCTTTTTGTGCACCTGTAAAGGCATCACCTGGCGAGGTATTGAAGAACTACCAGTGTTTTTGCATGTTTTCATGTTTTCACTACAACCTTCTGAACATTTTTCATAGCCTGCCATATTTGGGGTTTTTATACGTGTTACTTCTTGGCAGTCTTTGTTTTCCTTTCACTAAGCTTCAGGGGTTAGCAGAGGTTTCAAATTTTCTTGAGATCGACAATCCATCCCAAAGCCAGGAATATAAATAACACTATTTTAGATCAATGGTAATGAGTCAAACATGCAAAAACACTGGTTTCTATGACTGTAAGTTTAATGTTTGTGTTGTGTCTCTCCTTTATATTCTATGCATATCCGAATAGGAATACTCTGGTATACACTAGTGACCTACTTATACATAAACCTATTGAAGCTTATTTATATTAAAGTTTGACCTCCTGTTTTAAGTTCAGTCTGTTGTACATCACACTGTGTTTTCATGTTCTTTGCATTGACTTGTAGACACCATGCAGACCATATAACGGTTATTGAAGTTATTTTTATTTATATTAGACTTTTTTGAGTGTAAAAGGATGCCATTCAAAAGGAGCATTGATAACCATACAAACTCAATTTGGGTTAACAAGGTCAGTAGGCAGGGAGGGGAGGGGGGGATTCAATGAAATCTCCAACATACCATACTTTATATATACACAAAACATCGTGGAGAGATCCCAGAAACCCAATGCTATACATAGTACTTATTGCTAGTTACGGTAGGGCTACTGCAGCACCAGTAGCAAGAATTATATTGCTATGTACCTGCTGTCGCATGGGAATTGTAGTTCTCAACTCTCAAGACTTGAGTGGTAGTTGTAGTCCTCCATTCAATCATGAAAACAGGGTCTTGGTAGCCCTCAAGTAATTTTTTTTTTTTTAAGAGCAAAGGTTCATGATTATTCAGATATTATAGACAGTGAGATATACAGAATACCATAAGGTAATACAAGGAAAATACAGAATTGCCACCTATAAAAAGTAATTTAAAAAAAAGATACCAAGTGAGAAAACTGCATAACCATTCACAGAAAAAAATGTGTTGTGTTGCTACGTGCCAGTGCTTTTCTACAACAATATTTATATAAAAACTTAAAAATAAATCGGTGGTACTGATACATTTAAGAATATAAAACTACAACGTAGTAACGTCAATACCATTCTGACTTGCCTCACCACTGTTCACAGTTTACAAAGAGATTTGACAGACAAGGGGGGAAGAGTTTAGACCAACTGGACTTGGTTCATAGCTTTGCACAACCAGCATTAACACTGTCGGTTCAGTCCCTTTATACCTGCGTCTTTTAAGTGCTTCTAATAAGGATCATATTCAGTGGTACTGACGTTACGCACTTTGAACTGACACCTAGCATTCATTTTATACAGATTAGCTTCTTTTTCATTTCAGTAAAGTGTCCATTCATATGAAAACTAAACATTTTTTTCTATACATTTCCTAACAAAAAAAAAATAGAATCAACGTGAATACAGGTTCCGCGAATGGGCAGGGTTGGGATGTGATTGACTTCCCCCATAACCAGTCAGCATGCTGGGAGAGTACTGCACTTCCAGAAAATAGGATGGGAGTCAAGAGAGGAGAGGTAGACACGGTCCGAAGATGGATCCAGAGAAAATGAAAGAGAAAAGAACACGATTTGTTAATTCACATGTGAAGATTTCAAATAATCAATAGTAGCAGAAGTTTCTTTATCTCACTGTCCGACCCACAGGCTTAAATAAATTTAGTTTTCAGGATTAATCAACAGACAGCATTTTAACTGCAATTTGTTTATTATTAGGTTAACTATTTGCCCTTAAATAACAAGCTAAAGATCAGCTTACTGTCTTTCACAGATTTCAAACAGAGCTTCCTCACTTTTAGCTACATAATCATAATCATGATAGTCACATTATGACTGTGTTATTGTAGTTCTTTGCAGATGGCCCCTCCAGACTCCATCTGCTTAGTAAGACAATGATATGAGACTGAAGCAACTGGAAGAAATGAGTGGAAGAAGTTTTTTCAAAATCATTTTGTCAAACTTCTGTTCCAGAGAAGAAAAAGTAAAAGATGCTGAGACTAAATCAATACAATACAAAAGAGCAGGTAAAAAGACCATACTCATTGTTATGTTACAAAAAGCAGGTAAAAGACCTTACTTATGCTATATTACAAAGACCCGGCCTATCCATCATGAGCACTTTAGCAAAATAATCTTTTCAATTAGTCTGAATCATTTCTGTCTCACCTCTTCAACAGTAAACATTTAAAGTAAGGATAAATGTTTTGACACTGTTTTATTTCAAGCTTATCCTAGCTAAAATAAAGACAATAATGGTCTTTATTTCTGGACAAAGTTTACTTAGTTGTCATGGAGATTGGAGGTCCATGAGGTGTGACTATGTAAAAAGTAAGGGTACCTGGAGCTGAATACATTTTTGTCAGACTTCTGCTTCTGAGGTCAGGAATTAGCTTTCAGCTGACTGTTCATTATTGCTGAACTTGTTAAAACTGTTGTGGTCAGAGTGAGATATTGAGAAAAGGTCATGAAGCAATCAAATTGATCTTACTATCGAAGAGGTATGCACAGGGTTATTGGTGACAGTGGAAATATTTGAATTCTCTTTCATGTTTTTGCATGATTTGCAGCATTGCACCAAAAACAACAAAAGGCCGGCCCACAGGGTCCTGCGAGGTCGAAGGCTTAACAGTCCGTTAAAGTCCGTTAAAGGCTGTTTGCTATAATTATAAAAGCGAGCGTGTGTACTAACAGCAACGATCAAAAGGCAGAGAGACTGTGATGGTGTCACAAGTACAGAGGAACTCACAGAGGGGGGTGGGGACTGCCTGTCAGTCAAGGGGAGGCTCTCATAGCCAGGGTTGCCATTGGAGGAAACGTTTGGAGTCCTGTATAGAGATAGAAAGAGACAAGGACAGAAGAGAGGGAGAGGAGGAGTGGAGGATGAAGAAGAGAGGGAGACAGGGGTGAGACACATTGAGAAAGACAGAGGGGGCGGAGGAGAGGGGGAGGCCGCAGGGTGACGGGACCCAAGGACAGGTGACAGGCAAGAAGGAGAGAGAGTGGTTAGAAATATAGTGCGGAATAACACAGCACTCAGTATAACTAGTTTGTATTAATACTACAGGCCATGTGAGCACCATACAGTCCACTCCTGACTGCAGGATTTAAACAAATAATCTGCAATCACATGCATTTAAGGCTGGATGTGACTCATCAGTCCCATTTCAGCTGTTTTTCTTATAAATCTGTTTATACGCATGAAAAACCCCAGAAAGCTTTTAAAGCCATCCCAAGCTGATTCTGTCTTAAAAGAGTGGACTGTATTTTCGGTGCTGGCTGAGTTTCTGAGCCTTGATGGTTCAGTTGAGTCAGTATCCTTGTTTTGTGTGTTAAAATTAAATACGGGAGCAGCTGGCATTGAAAGTGAATTAGTTCCCGGTTAGGATTCTCAGAGCTCTTACTAAGCTTGTAAACACCAGTGAAGGTGGAAGGAAGGAAAAAAAACATAAAACTGAAAGTGAGGGGAAAAAAAAGAAGGGAGATCTATAAAAGGAAGCAGGAGGTTTGATAGAGCAAGAAGCCAGAGAGATAACTGGAGAGATTCGGACACAACAGTAAGGAGGCGGATGAGAGAGATGCGGGAGGGTGTTTTGGTGGTGGGTGGGTGCGTGGAGCGGGGGTTACCTATAGTCAACCTGAGCCTCACATCGCCGGAGTTTTTAAGAGCGTAGCCTCGCCAATGACACCCTCCCCCCAACACAGCAGTACTCTGCTGCTGCTTAGGAGACAGGACGCCATTTGAGACCAGATCTGTGAAATGAGCGAGCGGCCTACACATCGTCTGTCCTGAAACACTCGACAGACGGATAGACAGACACACAGACAGACAGACTTCTGGAGTTGTGTCTGTTTCTCTGCCTACACTGGAGTCCATATTGACCTGTCTGTGTGTCTGTCTGCAATGCATGTGCTTAACCTGGCTGTGAATTTACACTAATCCTGCATGGCTATCGACCAAAGTGTGTAAACCTAGCTTCACTGCACTACACTGCACTGCTCCCTTCAGAAGATGGATGTGCAATACATGTGTATCACTAATATCAATATATAAGTGTTTGAAGGAGAGAAGTGTGGTCTAAAAATGTCTATGTGTCTGCAGAAAAACATCACTACATTGGCAATTCTCTTTGTGTTGGTTAAACATACTCTGTGTTGCTATACTACGTCCTAGCATATATATAGTCCCTAATCTTAAGGGGAGGGGGTATTAGAATAAAAGTTGCCCATGCATACAGATCTACACACAAAGACACATGCCTGATGTAGAGTCTTTATCTAAGAGCAACATCCTCCCCTATCCTGAGACATCTGGGCTGTTCTGTCTGTCTGTCTGTCTGCGTGTCTGTGTGTCTGTGTTACTCACGGGAGGGGCGGCGCACTAGAAAAGGGGGGTGTCCACCCGGCCCCCGGGTAATTATAGAAGGGGGCCATGGCCCCTCGTTGAGACCCCGAGGCCTGAGGTCTACGTGCCTGATGGGAGGTGAAGGGGTCCTCACTCTCACTGTCCGAGTCTTCGTACTCCTCCGATTCACTGTCGTCGTCAAAGAAAGAGACACAGGCACATGTGTGAGCAGAGAAGGGATGACAAACTCTATTTTCAATAGCACTTAATTACATAATCATTTTATTTATTTATTTAGATGCGTATCCCAAGACAGCTCTACTGTATATTTCCTCTTGTTCCTCTTGTGTAAGTTAGACACTCATATTTCTGGAGAAAAATAAATAAAAAATTCAAAAAAAATTGTGCCAACAGATTTCATTCAACATTGGCAGCACCAATCACAAACTACCTCATCTGAACTCTAAGAACACTTGATCAGTATTCTAATGAGCAGAGCTGTGGCACACTGCCCTCACTTTATTGTCTCTCAGCAGATTCTACAAACCTGTGCCACACATATCTCACTCTTTAACATTAAACTGTATTATTTGGGGGAGAACCAAATCAACTCCTCTGCACATTATATCTTATTAAGTGGCATAAGAGAGGTTCATATCCTCCTTGACACTGTGGGTTTAATGCTTTTTAGTGAACCTACGACCCAAGATCAAACTAGTTTTTGGCTCGTATCCCCTCTCTTTTTTACTACTTTTGGCAATGTGTACAGTATGCTACTTCTCCCAATTGTCCTTGGTTTTATTGAAAATGTACATAAGGAACATCCTTATAAAAAGTTTTGCACTATAAACATATTCCCCCTTGCCTCTCACCTGGGGAAGCTCCTCCAGGCACCGGGCAGGGAGCAGAGGATGGCAGTGAAGGCCAAAGCAGAGAGGAAAGAGTACAGGGAGAGGTAGAGCAATCCCTCCATCCCATCATAGCACAGGC